TAATTACATTTTTTTCAAGAAAACTTGCCTCTAAATTTTGCTATTCATGTCATAGAACTTTGCTCCTTAGTTCAGCTAAAACCCAGGTTCTTGTCACACGACCAGTAAAATTTAGGCACGAGGATACATTGAGGGGTGATTAGAGCAGGACTTTATTGGGCAAAAAGGAGAAAACAAACAGAGCTCAACGAAGTGAGATGGAGGCCTGTTAACAAGCCCTCCCCATCACTGATGGATTCCCAGGTCCCCACCGAGCTGGAGAGAACAGGCTCCACCTCTGCATAAGGCATGAATTCCCTGTGGTTTCCCCTACCCCCCCTAATTCCAGTGCACAAATCGGGCTCCAGTCTGCTGTGCGCATGTGCAGTCAAGGCGTGGGCAGGTTCCCTCATCCGCACAAAAGCATCTGATGTAAACACTCGTGGAGTGGGTGGGAGATTCTCCGGGGACCCCTTTTTATCTGCCTAGGCATTTGGCTGTCTCATTAATAGTAATTAAACACTCGAAAGCACCTTTCTGGTAGCCTCAAAAATTAGTGAGCACATACAGATCATATTCTAAAACCAATTTGTTGATAAACATATCACTGTCCAGGAGAGTGGATTGTTTCTTCTTTCTTAACAACCTCCTGGTGTGTAAATCCATCAGCCAAGGAAAACTGATTGTGATATTGACTTTTTATACAGATATGCTGAAATGGAACTGGGTAGAAATGAAAGTTTGTGTACACATTTGATATTTCATGTATTTGTTTATTTTGGTGTGTTTGTAATATAAGTTTTCATTTATCGATTTAATTTCATTCTAATTAGTCACTTGTATTTATACCATTTTTACTTAAAAACATTCCAATTTCATTTTCATTGTCATATTGAGTTACCTTAAAATAGTGTTTATTGAGTCAATGTCAATTTGCCAAACTAGAAGTTCCCCAGAAGGAACAGCTAACCAAAATATTGAGAAGTAAATGCTACAGTTTCCCATGAAACAATGCTACATATTGAAATGTATACTTATTACTGAGCAATGAAACTGTTGTTCAAGAAAATTGTTTAATATCTTGCTCTAAATCATAGGTCTTTTGATTTTATTTTCTTATTTTCACCTCTAAGCTCTTTAACATAGTAGTGGGAATGTGGTTTGCCTAAAAACTGCTTTCCCACAACACTGAGCCCTTATCTCCCTTTGTCTTCCAGAGATATTGTATCAGTGCCAGAAGTGGCCTAAGGATCTCTTGACTGCCAACATTGTGTGTAATGTGAGAACCGCAGGAACTCCTCCAGGGTCTCCTCTGTTGCATGCTACAGAGGCTGAGATTTCATTAGTTTCAAGCTTTGAAGGCTTTTTAGTTTGCAGAAGTCCTTTACAAAATATACGTACCTACAAAAGAGAGGTCCCACAAAAGGTGGGCGTTCAGTGTGATGTAAGGGAATAATGGGCAAAAAGCATTCAAGATAAAATTCCACCTCGGTCCTGCCTTCACTTCTGCCTTCTCAAATGTTCTTTTTTCATGGTACATTTGCTTAGGTTTTCAATCTTTAAAACTCCCCCTTCCTCTCTCTGCTTCCTTTCACAGCCAAGCTTCCTCTTGTGTTCATTTCACAGACCTTGGCAGTCTAGATTTCATCATTCCCACGCAACTCAAACTATTTTCCATAGAGGTGCTACCATAATCCCAATGCAAAGTTAAAGTTCTTCTCATTCTTCATCATTCTTGGCCCTTCTGGTATTCTTGATATTGCCACATCCTGCTTAAATTCTGTAAAACCACCTCTGTAAAAGCTGTTTTTGCCTTTTAAAGTCTGGGTTCACAAGGTGAACTGCTAACATTGTGAACTCTTTCTTAAAGGCAATGGAGGAAAAATGAAGAGGAGGTAGGCAAGAAAACTATATTTACCATTTTCTTATATCTGATGCTTAAATATAGGAATATCTGTGGTTCTGTTCTGTTTTCCTCTCAAATCTACTGTCAACCTCCAGTGATCCCAAATGCTCTATAGCTTCTGATGAGCATTTCCTGGCTACACCTCTAACAAAAACACGTTTGCGTGTAGGTGTCACACAGGCACCTCAGTTTCCGTGACTGGACTTGGTGTTTACCCTACCCCACCTAAGCCTGCTTCTCTTCTATTTCCTGTCTCCTTTCATAGATCGATATGGACCAATTTCTCAAGTTGGAAATTAGCAAAACAGCCTCTATTCTTCCTTTTATTCCCTGTCTTTAATTAGTTGCTGAATGTTATGCATTGTATCTTTAAGTTTCTTGTATCTGTATCGATCTTTTTCTGTGGATCCTTATTACTCATGATATCAAGCTTCAGTTATTAGTAGTATTCCTGCTTCTATTTCCCTTCTGTTGGTTGTAAAATGATTATTTTCAAATGTAAATACAGTTTTCTTGCTGTATTATTTTAACCTTTCTTTAGATTAAAATAATCATTTAACCTAAAAAGTGATTATTTTCAAATGTAAATACAGTTTCCTTGACTACATCCTCCTCATTTTTCCTCCATTGCCTTTAAGAAAGAATTCACAAAGTTAGCAGTTCACCTTGTGAACCCAGAATATCTGAGACAGTTTTCAATTGGTTTAAAAAGTTTATTTCTCCAAAGTTAAGGACACGCCTGTGACACAGCCTCAGGAGGTTCTGATGACATGTGCCAAAGATGATCAGGGCACGGCTTGCTTTTATATGTTTTAGGGACACAATTCATCAACCAATACATGTAAGATTTACATTGATTCAAACTGGAGAAGGGTGCGACAATTCAAAGTGGTGGGGAGGGGGCTTTCAGGTCATAGGTAGAGTTAAAATTATTCTCATTAACAATTGATTGAAAGAGTTACTATCAGTAGAAAGGAATGTCTGGGTTACATAAAGGGTTGTGGAGACAGAGAGGATAGATTGTAAATGTTTCTTATCAGACGTAGGGTCTGTGTTGATGTGAATGCTGGAGAGGTATAATAAGGCATGTCCAACCCTCTCTTCCATCATGGGCTCAAGTTGATTTTCAGGTTAACTCTGGAAGGACCTTGGCCAAGAGTAGGAGTCCATTCAGATGGTTGTGGATTTTGGGGGGCCTAGAAGTTCATTTTTGGTTTACAACCTTGAGTACCCACCACTCAAGGTTCCAGTGTGTGGGATTAACCACTGGAAGAAAAACATAGGGTTCTAGTGCTCATAGTGTTCATATTTTCCAAAGCCTGACAGCAGCTACCTATTGTGTACATACCTGATCATTCTTATCAGTTTGTTTGTTTGTTTGTTTTTTAAGACAGAGTTTCGCTCTTGTTGCCCAGGCTGGAGTGCAGTGGTGGGATCTCAGCTCACAGCAACCTCCACCTCCTGGGTTCAAGCGATTCTTCTGCCTCAGCCTCCCTAGTAGCTGGGGCTACTGGCTTATGCCACCACGCCCAGCTAATTTTGTATTTTTAGTAGAGATGGGGTTTCTCCATGTTGGTCAGGCTGCTCTCAAACTCCCAAGCTCAAGTGACCCACCCACTTTGGCCTCCCAAACTCCTGAAATTACAGGTGTGAGCCACCGTGCCTGGCCCCTTATCAGGTTTTACTCTCCTTTAGTAATGCCCAGTGACTTCGGTTCCCAGACCATTTCAGTGCCTCCTTGGTATTTGTTTCAGAAATTCTGTCTGCCAGTAAAATACCTATCTCTACTCTCTTAACCCTGGCTCTCTCACAACCTCTGCGCCTCATGCGCCTCCTTCTTTGAAATGGATTTTCTGTTCACTTTTCTTACCAAGCTGCTGTCACATCCTCCTTTCGGCTACTGCCACCTTCACAGCACTTCCCAGATAGCACTTATAATTGGGAAGCCATCTCCCTTAGCTTAAAGCATCATTCTGGCCTCTATACCTCACAAAATGTAGGCAATAAGTAAATGTTTGTTGAGTGAGTGTGTAAAGGTCTATGACAAGACCTTCTTGCCAGTCAGTGTCATGTCATAGCCTGCCTGTAAGGTCGGGTCTTTCTGAACTATCATGATTCCTTCCTTGAGCCAGCTGCCCTGAGCTATCTAAGATGAAGAAACCATGCCTTCGGAGATACTGTTAAACTGTTAGGTTATTTTCTGCTTATGTATACCATTTACCTAGTTATGCATCTTTCGTTAGCTCATGCATGAGCTCTGCCCTCACATTCCCACAGGAAAGTTTGGAAAATGTTTATTAGAATAAAATCGCTGTTATATAACTATCCCTTAAAATTAAACATATTGTGCATATTATAAATGTGTGTATATATATTTGTGTGTATACACACATACATAAATAGAATCAAATACATATTTGTATTTATCTTTTGTGTTTATTTATGGTACAGTATGCTTTGTTATAAGTTTAGCCAATTTTTCTCAGACTCAACCTGTTGGAAAAAGTCTGTTAATTGTCAGAAGGAGATTTAATGCAACAGTGAAAATTTACTACTTCTACTAAAGAGTCAGCTCAAAACTTGTTTCCTGCTGAGGATGAGTCAGTGAAAGCTTGAAATAAAAAGACACAGAGACTGAACTGAAGTCACAGAAGTATATTTTTGGAATTACAAATAGCATATACTAGGGTGTATGAACCAAAACTATGCATTTTATGAGTAATTCATAATATCTAACTTTGCTTTTGAAACTTATTCTTGATGTTTGTATTGTTTTATTTGTATGAATTCCCACCCAAACTCTTAAAATTTATTATACAAAAATCCCTGAACTTTTGGCACAAACTTTAAGGGGCAGTGGCACCACTTTCCTTTTCGTGTGTGATGACTGATAAATTAGGTTGAAGATTTCGAGGGCAATTACAATACTTTGATTTTACATTTGAGAAAATTAAGGCACAGTGACCTTAAGGGACTTTCTTGATATCAAAGAATTACTGGTGGACTCTTCCGGGGCTGCTCCTATAACATCAACCATATGATTCATGATATTGTTTTCTGGATAATATCACTAAATCATAAATCAAACTTACATATCCTCTCTATGTTGGTCAAGGTTCCTACCTGATCCCACTCCCGGCAGCAGAACTGGCCAGCTGTGCAGATCTGGGGACCCTCTGTCAAGGTAGGGAGCTCACACTGTACTCTGGAATCTCTTTGCTTCCTACTTGCAATTTTGGTTAATGTAGTTGTCATTGTTTTGATTTTTATCTGAATTTTCACTTGCAAAGACAGAAAACAGCAAAACAGAAGAATTTCTGCAAATGTTTTACTTGTGTGGGTGCACAGTACATACGGTGTGGGGAAAGAATGCATTCACATGGTGGGTAACCACAATTCCACAAAGCTCTGAGTTTTAAAAATGTGAATTTATATCCTATTAAATAAGGGTTGGTTTCATTTCCCCCCATGTCTTCTCAAGAATATACTGGACTTGCAAAAAGTCCAGTATAAATACAGTGATACAGTACTTTGAAGAAATATTCATGTCTATAAAACAAAGAGGGAAATTAATCTGAATGTTCAGTTAACTTTAAGATAGGGCCATGAGGCAATTTATGATGACAAGATAACTTAAATTTTAAGATTAAAATGGTTATCGTAACTTAATGTAACTGTGTTTATTATGATGCTTACTGTATCATGGTATTTCAGTTATATTATGTACTAAGTAGCTGCATGCTAAATAATACATAATTAAAGTTATACAAGTTTTAAAATAATGTAAATATTTTGCTTTATTTTATCATTGCTCTTCCTAATTACCCATGACCCTTTTCATCTATTTATTCTGTTAAATACTTCTATAATGAAGTAGCATGCTCTGTGTACCACATTAAGAATCACGGCCATGCCTTTTGTAAAAGCTGAATCTCTTATTTAGAAGATCATAGCACAAAGGTGACAGGTATTAGAAGTGATATTGAAGAAGTAGAAACCTAAGCTGTCTTCTGTGGTTCCAGTGTCAGAATAGGGCAGGCAGGAGATGGTGTGGGGTGTAACTCATTATTATCTTTGTTTTCCTTTTGGAAACGTTATTTCTTTGATATTATTACTGATCAATACCCTATGAAAATTAAGTCATCAAGTAGTTTTTTTTTTCATGATCTCAGTGTAGTTTTCAAATTGTTAAATGAAATTTAAAAATCTGTGATTCTATTTAGTTCAAGATCTGAAGTTTAAAAAATATTATTTTAAAAATTCTTCTCATCTATCTGACATAATGCTTTGAAAATGTCTCCCTTACAAGGCTTGCCCTGTGAATACTTTTTATCCATCAGTGTTTAGTAAACTTACTGGAATCTTTAAATGATTAACTTAGCCTATGCATTTCATTTGTCTTTTCTTTACAGTCATCTTTAGAAGAAGTATATTTTTTTCTGAGATGTTATTTCTCTAGACTCAATGTATTAGGCAAACTTAGTTTAGATAACTTTCAAGCTGTAGGTTTTATATAGACTGCCTTCCATAACTTTTTCTTTTGACCAACTCAGGAAACTTGAGTTCTAAAGCATTAAGTTTTACTGTGTGATTGCCAGCTTGTTATTGGAGAACTAGGTCTAGAATCTAGAATCTAAATGTCTTTTCTCTCATCACTTTTTTCTTGCTCCAGACCCTTGTGTAATACAGCATCCAAGGCCATGTGTGCTGATTCTTAATGTGCCACAGAAAGCATTGCTTCATCTTATACGTTATAACCTTGGAGTCTGTTGTATTTCAAAATGGTTTCCATTCTTCCTCTATATATTTTAATGTATTAATTATAGATTGCTTATCCAAATTAACTTTCATGAGCTCTTTGCAAAATTACATCTTTCTCATCTTTATTACCAGCTACTGTAAACTCTCCTAGTACTACACCACGCACTGTCACCACTAACATGCCTGTTACTAACAGAATCGATAAACAAATGAATGGTAAGAAATCATTACCTTTTATATTTATAGTGTGTCTAACATAAAAAAATTGTATTCTAAGGTTAGAAATATGTATTATTCCAACAAAGTTTCTATTATTGGAATCAGTTGGTACATTTATAGGTTTACCAGGCTAGTAAAATTAATAAATATCGTGTAACTCTGTTTAGTTCTTCGTTTTTATGACCAGTGGAATGAGCACATTTCCAGTACTCCTCTTTTCCACTTTTAGCCAAAGTTTCTTTCAAAGGAAGTTTTAAGAGAAAGACATTTCATTAAAAGGCAGTAATTTGCTTCATAATAGAGATCAGAGAAAAATGTATTTCTGTGGTATTTTGTCAGATAATTTTCTTCAGGAAACAAGTTTTAAAGGACTTTATAAATTTCAGAAAACCAAGTAATTTTAATAATTTAATTTCTCACTTAAGTGTGATAAAATATATGTGACATTTAAATCAATTTTCATAGTAATACTTTGCTTTCTGTTTTTATTTGCTGAAGAATAGAATGTGATTTCATATCAACTAAAATCTATTTTTAAATGGCAACAATTAAAGTCACTTCAAATATCTTGCTTTTTTTCTCCAGATATACTTTTCTGTTATTTATGATTTGCAAATACAGTAGTATATGGTAAGAAATAAACAGAGGAAAAGTCACGTGAACTGAGTTATTTAACCTGTTCCTATATGGGTGACACACATGGCCTTTCAGTAATTCAGAGTGAGTGATTTCAGTTTCTTCTAATAAAAGAGAAATTCCAATCAGGTGACTACACCATTGCTTTTAATACAGTAATATTCTCAAATATGAAGCATTAGAAACAAAGGAATTTTCTGAACTCCAATCATTTAGTTCATGAGGCCAAGACATCTGTAATATATTACCAGGGACCCAAAATCCTGAGAAAAGAAACCCACGTAGTTCATTTTTTCTTGGCTTCAGAGGTTGTATCAACTTCCTCTGTAGGACATTTAAATTGGAAGTATGGAATATTTTACATGAAACGTAGATATGAATTTCATTAGGGTTATAAAGACATTGATTCAGGGAGTGTTTATGGTTATTCTGGTAGTTACACCAAGGAGATTTATGACGGAGCAAAAATTCCAGCAACCGCCAAGTAAGCAACAGCAGCTGAAATTTCCAGTGCACATTTCACATGGACTCTAGCCAGTAGATGGGAATATTATAATTCTAACTAAGTATTTCACTCTTTGTATGAACATACAAAGAGTCTCTGTGGTATTCTCCCTCCAGGACTGACACATCCTCTACTGCCCAAGAACATTTATACGGTGCTTCAGAGTCCTTGACTTGGTGGAGTGGAGCTGTATTCATTCACTCAGTCATGTCATTTCTGACATTATTGAAGAAAGCCTTGTTTAGGCCATCTCTTTTTGCGTCATAACCTTTTGAACAAAGCAAGCAAATGTTAGAATCAGTTAAAATGGTCTGTCTTGACCTACATTAATGAAAAAAATCTAATTCGGATAATTCTTAAAAATTTTATCTTAGTGTTTAAGGATGTTCAGGTCATTACGTGATAGAAATATTCTCAAAATTGTGTACTCAAATTTGTGTACCATCTTAATAATTTTTACCATATCTCTGAACCACCTATACTATTTCATATGATTTTTTCCCCTAAATTGACTCACCTTTTAACTTAAACATTTGTATTTACTTGGGAAAATCTATTTCAGGATTGTAAAGTGAAGCCAGCCCTACTTGTTGTAACAAAGACATGAAAAGTGAATATAAATATAATGTAAACAATATTTTAAAATTCTCTATGTATCCTATTGCCTTCTCACATCTTAGAGCCTGAAGCCTTCATTATCTTTTTAAAAAGGAAGACTAACAAAGTATTAGAGACAGACTGTAATTAAGATTTTTTTTGATGTAACCAATTTGGAAATAATTGAAAAGAGAATTAGTTTTTTACCTTGTGAAAAATGCTATTTAATGTCATGTCATGGATTATCATCATTTATATATTAATAATTTCTTATTCTTGGGAAACAGAGTAAACATTCTCAGGCTTACATTCTGATGTATTAGAGAATCCCATTTTATTTGTAAGAAGGATAGGTACAACTGTCAAATCTGTTATCTAATTTGTCCAGTCCTTTTAACTTTTGGCTATCGGAGTTTTACTGGGTTCATCAGTAACAATATTGCATTGTGAGGAGAGGACAGAGTTGAGTTTGTCTGATGATCAGATATATTTATCGTAGTATATCAACAGAATGTGTTTGCCTGGCTTTTGTGATGTTCCTATTTTTCTGTGTAAAGTTATTTTTGTTGTTTGCCATAGGGCTTTTTTCTGATGCCTCAAATTACAGTAAATCTTCATTAATGTTGTTAATAGGTTCTTGGAAACTGTGAGTTTGAGCAAAATGACATGTAATGAAATTAATCATAACATAGGCTGATTGATAAAAACAAGAGTTAAGTTTCTACAGCATATCTGTGATCACAGAAGCATCACCAAACTTCCAAATAAAGACTGAAACACTTCTAATATTAAACATTATAGTTAATATGAGCTATACATACATTTAAGAAAGATTAGTGAAAACAAGATAATTGATTGCCCAATTTTGAATGAGCCAGTAAGTGACTGCAGTCTTAGTGGTGGTGATGGGTTAAATCAAGGAACAAGTGTTCGTTTGCAGGGTGAAAATTGCAAGCAGCACCTCCTGCCATCAGGAAGTTCCAAAACAATCATCAGTATGGGGCTTCACTGAGTGCTTTCATACTGTATCATTTATTGTCGTACATTTATATGATTATCTTATACTTTATGAATTTTTGTTTTACCATAATTTGTATTCATTCATTCATTGACTTTCTAACCTGCTTATTTCATATAGTTAAAGCTGGCAGGTGGCTGGAACCATAGGGACAGCTCAGGGTGGCAGGCAGGGACTAGCCCTGGCCAGGATGCCATCCCATGGCAGGGGACACTCACACATAGCCACACCCACTCACACTGGGACCATGTAGACAGGCCAATGAATCTAAGGTCCACAGCTTTGGAATGTGGGAAGACACTGGAAGATCTGGAGAAACCTCATGCTGACAAGGGATGCAGACCCTACGCAGAAAGGGCACCTGGCCAGGGATTGACTTTTCTCCTCATCAGCTTTGTAATGAAACTCCATTGAATGAAACAATGTTATTCGAGAACCTGCTGCATGCTTTAAGAAAGTCTTTAAAGCTACTTTTCACAGACAGATATTTTAGGATATGGATAATCTGGGGCTTCCCACAAATAATTACCCTTTATACATTTTACATTACGTTCCCAAGAAAAGCTCTTGGACTAATTACTGTTCCATTCCAAATCATATCTTCCCTGCTTCAAGCATCACTCTAGTGCTACTGAATAGTAAGCTTTTATGAGGTTGTCACAAGCAACTCAAGTAAGGAATTAACTCCATTAGTCTTTATTATTGTTCTAAAAATCTAATTTCCAAGTAAGTACAGACTGTAATACTGCCTCCAGTTTCTCACATAGGTTTAGCTATTTAACAAATTCCTTCTTAGATCATTTGAATGGATCCATTGCTGTAGCTTTTTATGCCATGTATCTTAAAGAAATTGTGTGTATAGGATCTGCAGGATTGACAGCCATATTGTAAATGCCACTGTCATAATAGAATTGCCTCATCACCAGTTCAAAGAAATAACCAGATATCTAAATTAGCATTTGGTTTATATTTTAACATCTGTTTTTTCAAATATATATTTAAGCCTATCACTGCAAACCTGTATTTTACATCTTTGAATATAGTGTATATAGAGCAGAGTCATTTCTGTATTCCTTAAGAAACTCCAAAAAAAAGTGTAAGAAGGCAGAAAATGAAAAGATTAGTTGGAGAGAAACCTGCAGAAAATAATGCTGTTTTGTTACCACATTGGTAATGCAAGGCAGTGATTTCTGCTTGAAGTTCTACATGCTGAAAGAAGTATCTAAATGGAAAACAAATATATTCTTAAATCATTTTTCCCCAATTAATGTCTATAATAAATTATTTTGGCTTAGATGTTATTATTAGGATAGTACATACATATTTTGAACTCTCTGGAACACATGAAGATTTGTGAATAGCTTTTAAAACACCATGGGAGTTAACACTGGTAAGAGAAGACGACTTTACTGCTATGATAACATGGAAAATCCTGCATAAATGTGTCTTAATTATGCATTTCCTCCAATGGCAATGTTTAAGCCAATTATTTTGCTGCAGTCCAAAACCCTTCTCACCAGCCCTTCAGTGGACATACTTTTTTATGTTGCTTTGACAGTTCATTCGTGGACTTTTCTCATGGTTACTTGTTGACTGCACTATTCTAAAATTTTAAATAAGATTAACAAGTGGACTGGAGCAGGAAATACAAAGTTTAAAGAAAGCATCTTAAATGTTTGGATTCTTCTATAAAAATTCAGAAATGTCAATGACTACAGATAGGTCTCCATCTAGTGGTGGCTTTTCAGATACTCTGCTAGCATTGATAATACAGATGCTCTTCCACTTAATGAGGGGGTTTGCATTCCTGTTAACCCAACTGTAAGTTGAAAATACTGGAAAATATCAAACGTCAGAAATCCATTTAATACACCCAACTTGCTGAACATCATATCTTGCTGCACCCACCTTAAACATGTTTAGAACACTTACCTTATTAGCCTACTGCTGGGCAAAATCATCTAACACAGAGTCTATTTTATAATAAAGTGTTGAATATCTCATGTACTTTATTGAGTGTTGAACTTAAAGTGTGAAATGAAATTGTCATATGAGTACTCAAAGTAAAAGTTTCTACTGAATGCCTGTTGTTTTCCCACCATCATAAAGTTAGATCATCTTGAATTATAAGTAGGGAAACTTCTGTATAGTCAGAAAATATTACCAGGTTCTTGAAATAACTCTTTGACCTTCAAAATTTGAATTTCCTCCCAATCATTCAGAACATTTGAGATTTTGTATGATGAGATCTACAGTGTAAAAGTTATCTTTATATGAATCATTGTTTTATATGTTCCTCCAAATATTTTTCATTCAGAACATTTCTTAAAGGAATATAAAAATCAAGATTATTAAAATAGCTGGAGAGTTTTAGAAGTTGAAATACATAGTCTGCATGAATTTAACTCACCTATGCTTGGACTTGTGCCAGTTTTATATATTTATATTAATACATCTGAGGGAAGCAATTTCTATTATTTAGCATGATACTCTGGCTCTTACTGGAAAGACATTCCTTTGGTAGTGGAACTGGAATTTGCATTTTGGTAGATTTGGAAATTCCCAGAGAAAAATGTTTATATTTCTTTCTACTGCCTCCCCACAATTTTTACTATTTTCTTCAACATTGCTGTAATTATGTATTTCTATATTTTGTGTGCATATTTTGTTTAAGACTTACCTATATATAAATATGAAGAAAGATGATTGACAATAATGGAGATTCAAAAATTTTTCTTTTCTCTATAACCTACCATAATTTAAAAGGGTATTTTTCTTGTGAACTACTTTGACTAAAGTGCTCTTTAGCACCCATCTAGAGCTATTTAGCAAACCCTTGCTGGTGAGTTTGATTTTTATTAAAACAAAAAAAATCAGTTAACTTTAAAGATTTACCCCCACCCTAAAAGTAGAACCTTCTTTACAATAAGGTTTTCTTTTTAAAGTGAAATAGTCCAATTAAAATTCTACCTGCAAATATTGTTTCTTTTTTTTCCCCACTACTTTCATATAAATGAACATTTTTAAAAATTTTTGATGAAAAGTCTGGTGAAATGCAACCTAATATTTTAGTAGAAGTAAATGTTTTATTAGGCAAGGGGAAGAGAGGAAAAGGAGAGGAATTAGGGCAGTAAGTATGTGTATGCCTATTCTGCTTTTTCAAGTTAATCCTCCACATGATCTCATTCAAGTTTTCACATCCAAAACTTTTTATCATTCTTTATAATGCACAAAAGCATATTTCCTTGTTATAAGAAATCAGATTGTACATGAAAACAGTTAACACATTACAGACAGTAGATATCAGAATTACAAAATATGAAGAAACATATGCAAGTAATAAGAGTAAGCTAATTGATAACTATTTCTAAGAAGTTGCAAGGACAGTAAGCTTACCATCAAAATATTTCAGAAATTTTTTGCCTATGTAGAAGCTATTTCTTTTACCTTATATTGTAAATTATGTGATTAGGAATAAAACTATTTGATTATATAAAACTTACATGATCATAACTTTAAATTTTTGGTAATTATATGACTGTAAAATATAATTAATGGATTAATCCTATTTCCAATGGGCAGATGGAATTCTCTATAGAATATCCGTAATGATTCAAAACATCCTTCGTCACCCTGAGGTAAAAATACAGAGCAAGGTGGCAGAATGGGTAAGTGAACTTACAACCTTTCTTTTTTTAAAAAAAGAAATAATCTTTAACTTCTGGGAATCTGGAAAAGGCTAGTTAACCGAATCCACAGATCATACTGAAACACAGATGGTATTCATTAGAAATAAATGAGTAGATATGTAAGTGAGGTATTGTGCTTATGCATAAGAAGAAAAGTACATTTGAAAAGGATGAGACACTGAGCCTAACAGGCTATCAGTGTCTTAAATAAGAACAGTATCACACAAATGGAAATAGATTTTGGTGGCAACAGGTATCTTTATTTCCTATTAGATCCATACATTATCTGCTATATTTTTAAATAGATTCTTTTAAAAATTTGTTTGAATGTTTGATCAAAACCAAAAAGCACAAAAAGACACATTATGAAAGTCTTCCACCCATCATTGCTGCTCATCTGTGTGGTACCAACCCAATAACCAACAGCAAATAGGAAATCACTGTTTTTCTTGGCTTTTTTCCAGATCTTTTGTGCACATAAAAGAAAATTAAACTATAGATTCTTATTGTCTTTGTTTTTTTACAATAAAAGCAGTATACTTTACATACCATTCTATACCATACTTATTTTTATTGTTGCCAGATTTGCAACATTAGAGAACTTCATCTTTTTTTGTTGTTTTGAAGAAACAATGTATAATATTTCATTATGTGGCTGTTCAGTCATTTATTTAGCAGATCTTCTGTTGATGGACAGTTAGGTTGTAATTTAACCAGTATCCTATTGATAAACATTTTGTAGTTTTCAATTTAAAAAATTTAACATTTTATTTTCTTCTTTTTCTTACAAATACAGCACATGGATTTTTTTCATTTTCTTCATAATCTCAAAATTTTTATATTCCATAGGTTTCTATGTTTTCTATTATTTCATTTCCTACCTACAGCATACTGTAAGACTTTGTACTTCTTTTTATATATAATGCTGTTATAGTTCAATTTTTAAAAATTGAGTCACTATACGTTCTGAAGTAAGAAAAATGATTTTTCATATATATTTGTTGTTAATAAATGTGTTTTGGTAGCAAAAGAAAGTTTAACCACACACTGAGAGGTAGTGGTACACACACACACACACACACACACACACACACACCCACACACACACACACCCCTATGTATATTTGAAAAATAACTGATAGAAAACAGTCTTCTTTTTAAAGGCAGTACTCTTTAAACAAAAGTTGACCATAGGTAACAATAGTAGGTAATTAGCTCTTTTACAAAATTCGTGAGAAAGGTGAAATTCTCTATTGAAATAAAAGAAAAATGCTACTGTTGATTTTTGGGAATGCCACACTGAGATTAGTAACTAATTCAAACACTGGGAAATATGTTTAACTTCTCAATGGAGAGAGCAGACTACAGAAAGTGTATCCCATTTTCTTTCCAGCTTTGTTCTTTTTGTTTAAAGTCAGAATAATTTCAGAAGATAAAATTCTTTATTTTCATTCTTAAATAAGCTACTGTTAGTTTATTTGTACAAATAATGGGTAACGTTATTAATCTGAAATTAACGTTCACTAGAAAGTTTGAGCTAGATAAGGAATAAGCTTACATTTATATTTACTTAATGCATGGTTTTTGACATAGCTTTATTCTCATCTGCAGCTAAACTATTTGACATTTTTTGTTTAAAATGCAAGATACCAAAGCAGATACCTGGTAATAGATAAAATATAAATGGTGTACCCATTTCAACTTACTACTATTTACAATTTTAAAATAACCTGACACTTTTTTGCTGGGATTCCCTAAAACTTACATTCAATTACAGAAAAATGCTTAAAAGAAAGGCTAAATGTGTATATGAAACAAGGCCTAAATCATCCTTCAGAGATGATGTGTTAATAATATTATGAGATAGTAATTATTAGAAAAATGTTTTACTGTACCTCCGTGTTTGTTAAATAAAGAATAGAGAAGGTATTTATTGTTATCTTCTTTAATATGAAGGCTAGAGAGGAAATGATAGCTTTCCAAACAGACAGACTTGGGTTCTAATCTGGGATCTGCTACTGCTTAGTTGGGTGATCTTGAGCAAACTATTTCTTCTCTGAGAAAGCTTAGTTTCTTTATTTAGAAGTCTGTGGGGAAGGTAGGGATAATCCCTGTTTTATTGGTTGTTTTGAGGACTGAAAGGAAAAACATTTACCAAATTCTTGGTATACAATTATCCAGTAACTGTTACCTACACCCTTCACTCCTCCAACTCTTCAGGATTTTCTCACGGTCTTATCTCAGTAACAACTTATGTTTTAAGCAGAAACTTGATTTAGATATTTTTTAAAGGTATTAACAAAACTCAGCCTTTTCCATTGTGTTTTCCAGCTCAATTCAACCTTCCAAAATTGGAACTACACAGTTTACGTCATTAATATCAGGTAAATGATAGAATAAAATTATTTGAGAAATTAAAAGTAGTGTCTAATTACTGCTACTATTTGATTGTACCAACACATAATACAAATACACATACACAAGTACTAGTTACACAGTCTTTCTAAAACAACTCTATACATTAGTTTATTGCACAAAACCCTCAATGCTGCAGTGATGGTTTTAAAATGTTTTGATCATACATTCCAGTTAACTTGTATTTGTATTTTTAAATCATAAGTGTGTTTGGTGTGTGTGTGTTTGTGTAACTGAATCGATATATGTTATAATGTGTCAAAAATTAAAATTGCATCATTAAATATACATAGAAGTTGTTAGTTTCTTCTCACACCCTGGTGAATCACCTAGAGTACCCCCTGGGTTGTATGCACCCATTTCAAGACCACTTTTTTTTTTCCAGATCTAATCTTGGACATCTTCAGTCTGATTGCAACCTAACTTTTCGAAATTATCCCTCACTGTATTTATATTTAAATCCTCTGCTAATCTTCAGCAATTGGTATTGTCCATATATCCTCCTGTGTACCTTATTTTCACAGTTCTACACCTGAACTCATATTCTAAAGTGTATGTCATGACTCCTAAACATATATTCTGTGAACATAAGAGATTCAGTAACACAGAAAAGGAGTCAAGTTGTCAGATAAGTTCAGGAAGTACAATATTAAACAAACTGAAGCAGATTTCTTTATTGGAACGTTTCCATTTCTTTAGTATAGTAATATGCATTGTGGATCTTCAAAACAGAGCAAAAGCACACAGTTGCCTAGCTTTATGAAAGAAGCTACAACCTCAGGACACACATTTGGAAATATTGGCTTAGAGTTCCCATTTTATCTTTTTATTTCAGGTCCCCAAATTTTATTGTTGATGATGCAGTTGAAGAGGTGGATTAATGAATATATGTATTTTATTTATAGTTTTCACCTGAGCTCTGGAGAGGACAAGATTAAAGTCAAGAGAAGCACTGAGAATGATTCAAGGTAACAGGACAAAGTCTTATAAAGAGTGTAGCATTCTTTATCTTGCTCACTACTTTATCTGGTAGAAAAATGAAAACAGATGGGAAAGAAAAACTTAGCACAATTATTTCTTTAGCACTATTGTGTGCTATTTTTTCTTGTAGTTAAAACTGTAATATAACAGACTGGGTAGTAATGTACATCTAATGAAAATAATTGAGAAATAGGACATTTAAAATGGATGAATTATTATTTTTAGTATTTCCAGTTTATGATAACCTATTGCCTTTTGCTTGAAATTACAAAGACGCCTTCAAAGAAAATAGCTTTAAGTGAAGTGTTTATATATGATAGCATCTAATAATATGGATAATAGATGCCAAAATATTTTCAGCATTTAAAGCTCCAGCTAATTTTCCGAATTTTCCATTTTATGTATGTCAGGATCATGCTTTAATCATGCAGATAATTTAATGGTTATGTCCAGCATGTATGACCAGTTGGCATGTAAGGACCAAATGTTTAGAGTACTGTAAAACAAAAAAACTTAAACTTCCAAATGGAATAAATTTACTTGTGTTTTGGTTATTTGGGTCATGTATTGCATCCCTGTAGACTTTTTTTTTTTTTTTTTTGAGACAGAATCTTACTTTGTCACCCAGGCTGGAGTGCAGTGGTGTGACCATCGCTCACTGTAGCCTCAAACTCCTGGGCTCAAATGATCCTCCTTTCTCAGACTCCTGAGTATCTGGGACTACACACATGTGCCACCATGCCTGGCTAATTTTTAAAATATTATTTTTGTAGATACTGGGTCTCGCTATGTTGTTCAGGCTGACCTCAAACTCCTGGCCTCAAGTGATCCTCCTGTCTCAGCCCCCTAGAGTGCTGGAATTACAGGCATGACGTGTCATATGTAGCCTCCATAGATTTTTTTTTTTTTAATTTGTTGTAAAGCAAAAGTTTCTATAAGTCTTGCTGAATCTCAGTAGACTGAATTGATATTATGGACACACAGCCCTGATGATAGAGTCTGCTTCTTTTCAGGTGATATATTCTTAACTATGAGAAGATAAAATTTCATATGAGAGTTGACCAGAGAACTTTTTTTTTTCTTTTCGGTTCAACATTGGAAAAACAAATGTTTTGAAAGTTACATTGAAAGATGTCATTTTTGTATACATATTAAATGGACTGGATTGAGCCATCTGATTAAGGAAACTTGTTTTTATTTTCTGGCATTATAATTTTTTCTTTATGATATGAAAACACAGTAATGTATTTCAGTACTATATTCTTGAAGGCGACAGAACTCTTCTCCACTGTTTAACCAAATAATTTTTTTCAATCCTTTCTCTTAGATCATATTGCGTCTTCAGTAATGGATCCAGCAGCAATTGGGATCCCTTTGCTGGACACTTTTTGTAGCTATTGGGACAGCCCTGGGTGTGGCAGATATCGCCAGTGATATACGTTCTTCAGGCAGTCAGCATTTGCTTTTTAGTTTACTTACTGTGGTTCTTCAACTACAAGGTGATACTAAAATCAGCCATCATTATTACATGTCAGCACTCAGAAACTCTTGCTTGAAAGACATTTAAATTCATGGGATTTCAGTTTCCTGGTCTGTCAAACCAATGAGTAATTTTACAGAAAAGTATAGGGAGAATGAACTAAGACAGTGTATATAGGAAAATCCAGTTATTTAGGGGTTTTTTTGGTATGAACTCTTGCCATTATTTAATATTTATGTTTATAGCCTTTCTTGCCTCTCTTTTCTTCTATTCTCTATGGCTCTTACCCTCACTGGTGAGCCTTTATAGTCTCAGTTTTTCTCAAAACCATGGTCTACTACTTTTACACACATTCTTTTTTTATTTAAACTTTTCCTTTCAATTTGATTGTATCACTTAACACAGACCATAGCTTCAGATAATGCTGTCATACTCTATCGCCTAGACAGACAGGAAACCAAAGCCACAGAGACTTTTTTTTTTTTTTAAATAAAGAATGACTGATGGTAACAACAGATAGAATGTGACTTTGTAGAACCATAAAGTAGTTTCAGTTTTCAGGATGAGAGAGGAAAACACACAGATAAGACCTGTGAAAATGTATGGCTATTCCTGACTTAACTGGGTTTGGATATTCAATATCACCCACAATACTTTGTGCTAATTATGTTCTCAGTATTCAAGACAAGTAAAAGTTTCCATTCCCAGCTGTAAGTTCTCACCAACTGGAGTGGCGAAGCTTGCCTTCAAACAGTGATTTAATCAAGGGATCCTTTTTCATAGGCCATTTTAAAGATTGTTAAGCTATCGTAATGACATCTGTTTTTCACAGCTATAATTATGTTCACCTCTATGTTTGCCTCATCCTGAAATATGGCTTGTATGTGAATGGTAAGCAGTAGATTATTTTAAAGAAAGCTTTTCAGAGTTAATTATGAGAATAGTAGAGCATTTTTTCCTTGAGATTAGCACAGATATTTAGAAAAGAAAAATTGAGCTATTCTTTAATTTCACCTAGCATTGAATAGCAAATATTTCACATATTCCTTCTTATTTTTTAACACCACAAATAAATTACTGTGACTAATACTTATTGTATATATTTATTATAATTACATAATTATATATAATATAATAATTATTAATATTCACAGTTTCATAAATAAAATATTCCACTGCCTCTCTACTGGGCATTCCATAACTAGTTTAAAAACAATACTACCACTTGGTCTTTGGCATGTAGACAGTAACTGATCTCAATAATATAATGTGTTATCTTTTCTCCTCTGAATATGAAGAAGAAACAATTTTTTTGGTGAACCCAGAGCTATCACATATAAGCAAAAGAAATTCTCCTCTATTTGAGAAAATAATGTTGCTTACTTTTACCTCAGTGTTAAATTGATAGTTTTGATTTCTGCTGTTGACTACAGCTGTGATTGTAGTTGAACAGAAAATTATATTACTTTAAATCATAGAACCAAAAGTTTTTAACAAAAGAAATTTTGGGGTAAATTTATTTGCTTCCCATATATGCATTTCGTTTTTAAGGCTCTTCAACGTCAACCGTTCTATAACCTTCTTAAGTAATATACTGGCCAATCACAAAGTCTATTTTGAGTATTTATTTTGTTAAACTTTTTACCATACAAAGTACTTGCAAATGCTTCATGGAGATAGAAAATCATTTGTTGCTATTCTGAAGAAATTGTACCACATTTATAAATAGTAACAACTTCAAAAGACAAATGGTGAGTTGAAAAATATTGGAATATTTTTACCATTATAATTTTCACAGCAGCAGAGAAAGTCTGTAAGCACCTTGGCTAATCTCTTCAGTCACAACAGTTGATGGTCATCCATCTACATCTAAATGTTCTGTTTATCCGACCAAATAACAACCAGCCAATCGACAACAACAATCAGTTCTATCTGAAATGTTTTCCTAGGTTGGTACTTTGGGCCCTTCTAGTTTACAATGCTACCAACAATACCAATTTAGAAGGAAAAATCATTCAGCAAAAGCTCCTAAAAAATAATGAGTCCTTGGATGAAGGCTTAAGGCTACATAGAGTGAATGTGAGACAACTAGGTAAGTGACTTTAATTTTGTATAATGTGTAACTATATATTCAGGTTTAATTAAAACAACAGGAATATTCTTTCTTTATGTACTATTTGTTTATGTAAAATTTTTTTCTGATGATGAAGTTCAGCAACAAATGTGTGACATAGCAAAAAAAAAAAAAAAAAAAAAAAAAAAAAAAAAAAAAAAAAAAAAAAAACAGCACAGCACTTATGAATCCAAGAAAATGAAGGAGGGAGATGAACGTTTATACTTTACTATAGGGACATATTTTGAAAAACTAACAATATGTAC